TTTGCTACTTTGAACTAGCTTTTTGCTACTCTGAACTAGCATTTTGCCATTTTTAGCTAGTGCTTTGCTGCTTTCAGTTATCATTTTTGTACTTTTATCTGATTGGTTTGACTTGTGGTTAGCGTTTCACATATTTGAGCTAACGTTTAGCTCCTTTAAGCTAGTTCGCTACTCCTTTCAGCTAGTGCTCTGCTCCGCTTCTTTTAGCTGCCCAGTTTCCAGTCAGCTGTCAGTTTTTGTGAGAGCAGAGCCAGTCGAGCAGGATGCCTGCAGCATTAACGCCATCAGGAGGGAAAAGTTTTGTGTTCCCTTCCTCCCCCTTGCGGAGCGTCCTGACAGTGGTGGAAAATGGCTGCTCGGAGCAGCTCCCTAAAGCTCGGAGAAAACTGAAAAAAAGTCCACATTTTAAATATATTTTTTAAAAAGTCTCACTTGGCGCTTTTACACGCAGGGAACACGGACAACTCGAGGACGCTTGGACTCTGAAACATGTCTCGCTGGGTGCCTTCTAAGAAGGAAAAGTATGGAGTTGGTGAGTACAGAAAACTCTCGTGCTCCATCGCGAGCTAGCTCGGAGAAGTTGGTGGAGAGATTTCACGACTTCTCTCAGGGAGAAGTTCCTCAGCTTTGACGGAGAAACGCAAATGTTTAGCAGCGTGGAGGCCAGGCCGCCTGTTGGCACGAAAAACAAAAACAAGGATTGTGTCTTTTGTGAGGACTGGACTGGGAATTGTTCGAGGCGCGCCTGTTTCCTGTGTTTTCGGGGCCTGTGCTAAAAGTCTCAATCTGCGCTTCAACACTTTTCATCGATGGCTCGTGTCTAATAAATATTTGTTGCTGTTTGTCATTTAATACCACATCCTCAAATACTTTGAAACTTGGCCGAAACTACACAGACTATACATTCCCTGTTGGCTTCCACTGTCCCCCGATGGAAAGCAGCTACATTGAGACTTGTACTGGAACAGGACACCTATAAGTCTATTAGAAAAAGAGAAATACATGTATTGATTGTGATTAAGATATGTTTTTTTTTTTAATATATGCTGTTGGGTCAATGTTTTGGCAGCAGGAGGTGGAACTACTTTGCCTTTTACTACTATCAAATACAGTTTTATGTACAAGGACATTTGATGGGAATAAAAGGAGAAAACAAAGATACACATCTTTATTCTCAGGATTTAAGTTTGACGATCATTTGTTTCAAAAGCACCAAAGGAAGCGTTCTTTATAAGCTCTTCGGAGCTCAAGGAAACAAGATCTTCAGCTGCACACTGGTCTTTGTTAGAAAAGCCTAAAATACTGGAAACAATGCTAAAGCAATGCAATAAAAAGTGTGCTTTAGTGATGACGCACTGCAATACAATAAAATACTTGAGTAAATAAGGATCTACAGCAATGGAGTTGTCCCTCGATTATCACGGGGTTATGTTCCAAACACCACCGAGAAAAGTGGAAAAACCGCCAAGTAGGAACACTATATTTATTTTAAGTATTTACTGTATATATATATATATATTAGGGATGCACGATACTGGATTTTTGGCCGATATGTTAAAACTTATTTGGCCGATACGATAATATTTTATATACTTTCCTTTGTCGGAACATAGCCTTCTTATTTAGGCTTATTTGCTACAAAAAATGTGTAACAGCTGTAAGAGCTGGTGACATATATTCAGTAACAACCATATGCATAGCACTTTAACTTTTATTGAATGAAAAGTGTTTATTATTTATTAGCACTGGTCACCTGCGATGCTGTCTCACTTGTGGAGGCTTGTTCCAGCTTCCTGGCTGCAGTGTGGGATCCTCTGCACTCCTGTGCATGAAGGACAGACTTTTTAAGTTCAAAGTTTTTGTCTATCCATTGTGCCGTAACACTCGTCATGCTAACGGGGCTAACACGACGTCCAAACGTCTGTGGTAAAACTCACCAAAGTGCTATCGGCTATTAGCTTCTCAACGACGTTGGAAATGACGGCTTGTTGCTCGGGTAAGGCTACTTCGGGAAATATCTCTGACTGGGGACGATGTAGAGAGGCTCAACGTAGTCCAAAAATCTTCAGAATCCGAAATCCTCAACGAAAAAAAAAACCTTCCACACCGCCAACATTTTAAATTTTCCTCTCCGCCATGATCAGATCAGGCAGGCGTGTGTGACGTCATCACGTTGTGCTAGCGATGCAGGCGTCCTTGTCACTGGGTTTTCATACAAAAACAGTATCTTTTATATCGGTGAGTTATTTTGATGTAATGGCCGATGTCCGATATTGAACTTTAACGCTAATGTCGGCCGATACTGATACCATGCCAATAATATTGTGCATCCCTAATATATATTTTAAGGCTTTATAACCCTTCTCACACTCTTGCAATGTTCTAAACTCTTCAACTTATGTAATTTTAACAACATACGTATATCAAAGTTCATGCCCAATCATCCAGGTACAAAATTCAATAATGGTCAATCAGCTCATCTAGACAGTTTCTTTTTTGGGAAAGATGTTTTGCCCTCTATCCAGAGGGCTTCATCAGTCTGAGGAGTACAAGTACTGTACAGTACTGCAAAATTTTACATGGGTACTGTACTCACCAGCTCTGCAGACCAAGCAGCTCGGTTCCAGTCGGGCTCAGTTCCGGTTCGACAGGCCTACCCTGCAGCGACGAAGCCCCCCGTCCAGGTTGATGTGCACGTGGATAATTGAGCTTGAGGAAGCTTCCGGATTATTTGTGACTTTCCTGCCAGTTCTGTGAGCTTAATAGATAGATCATTACTTCTGACTTTGCGTTGCAAAACTTTCCCTCCATTTCGTCAGAAAGCAGTGGCCGGAAGCACTGTTGGCTTCTGGGTCGTGTAGTTCTTTTGACCTGCGTTACTGTGTAGGCTTATTGAAAGAAAACTACAAAATGGCAGCACCTGTCCAAAGTGTTATTTTTTCCTCGTTAATTTTTTTTATCCCATACGTCCCAATCACGTGATTAATATTAAAGCCGACAATCATGTGTTGTGTACAATCTTTACGTTGAAGAACCGTGAAAGAGCGAGTCCGCGAAAGTGGAACATCAAAGTAGCGAGGGACTCCTGTACATGTTTTAGTCAAACATTGAAAATAATGTTTTGCGCAGTCCATGCAACATTACAAGATGTTAACACTCAAGTGTTCGCGTTAGGGATGACTCTCACCTACTAGCACACCAAACTTTAGCTCAACGTTTGTAAAATTCACCGTTACAGCCATTTTTGTGTTGGCTAAAGTCAACTAGCTGTAGTAGACATATTCAATTGGTTTGTCTTCTAAAGCTAATCAGGTCTAGTTTTACATCCAATAGCAACTGTCTGAAATGTTCTTAATCTCCATTCAATGCGTCCGGAAATATTTTGCTAACAAACAAACGGGGTTGACTCCAACAGGTTAAGTTTTAAGCAAAGTTCTCGCACAAAGTATAAAGTTAGGAGTGTGAATAACTCTTAGTTACTACCTCAACAAATTTTATCTCAATAGCTGGAAAATTAGCTGAGTTATAGCCATTTACGTGTCCTGAGGTTGATTAGCTCTGGTGGCCATCTTGAATTGTATTAACTCCAAGTTCATTAGTTTTTGATAGAGGTTGATAGATGCAGTTTTTCTTTGGCCGATGCCAGTTTTTAGAAATCAAGGCAACTAACTGTCAGTACATACAACTATTTTTTTTTTTGGGCCAATATGACAATAATTGCTTAACTTAAATAAACATATAATTAACAGCTTTTAAAATAACTTGAACTGTTAAAAATAATATGTGGGCTACAGTAAGCAGGTTGTAGAATCCGCTTCTTCATTTTCCTACTAATTAATTAAGTACAAACATGGCTGATTGCTGATTTTATTTTTTTAAAGTGGCAAATATCTACCAATTAATTGGCCTGTTTCTAGTTGTAGAAGTACAGCCAAAGGTTATTTCCTGATAGTTTCATTTTAAAATCTTCAAGTGGTTCATGAGATTTTTTTGGTAACCAGCAAAGAGACTCACACAGTCAGCGGTGGAAACATCATCACCTACCTTTGCATTTTTGGCTTTGGGCAATAATAAAGTTACCAGTAGGTACTTTCCATTTGCTCATCCTTGTCATGCTTTTTTGTCCACAATGACAGACACTTTCTTGTTGTTTTGTTTTACAGTCCTAGTTAACGTTTTAAAAATACTTTATCATATGTAACGCGTTATGAAGAAACAAGCTCATAAACCACCCCGATTAAAGGATTAAAGGCAGAACTGTTTCAGCTTGTAATCTGTGTGAAGCTTTCCACAACCTGTAGAATACTGGCAGACTTCTAAAAGGATGGTGTGAAATGTGAGACTAAAATAATCACAGTCAGACATTCCCTCTGTGGTGCGTTTGAGTGCCTAAACAACAGAGTAATTGTACTAAATCGGATTTTACTGGAGCTCTCCTGGTTCAATTCGCTCAACTTTGTAGCCAATTTCTTATATTTTCCATTAAAATTGGGTTTTTATTATGGTTTATTATTTTTAATGCTTGTGTTATAGCTCACTGTGTGCACACTGAGCCCATTTTTTGTCCATTAGGGAGCCTAAAGGTTTGTGACTGTCTGAAGGTTGCTGATGCTGATTGATGGATGATTTCAGCAGGTTACACTAAAGCTTTGCCTGGCGTCCCAGACTGCATGCTTTTAAATGAGCCAGTTGTGTGTGTGTGTGTTTCAGCTGCACGAGAGGGGAAAGCATTCACCTGTCATGCTAATGGCTTTCTCCCCATTCTCACATCAATTGAAATGACAAATTTCTTAAAAAAAAAAAATCACACAGTAAATTTTTGCAGGGTTCACTGAACACAACCTCGGATGACTCATTAGTTGAAAGAGACTCAGCTGCCACGTCACGGCTGCTGAGGATTGGTGGGGTGCACAGCCGCTGCACTTTTAATACTTCATGTGTTGACCAAGTAGTACTAATGAGCACTCCGTGAGACCTCTCAGGCTGTTGGTGCTCATTCTGCATCTATTTCTGTCTCGACAAAACTTTTGTCTCGCCATTTAACGGCTCAAATATTGGCCCCAATGGCTTTGTTAAGAGTATGGGGTGAAAAAAAGTCTCTCCTTTGAGGCTCCTGCAGTTGTATTAGAAACACATTTTATTATAGTCCCTGTCTAGCTGCTAAAATAAACAGTATTGTTATTGAATTTGCGTAAGGGAGTTGTAGCAAAGAGATATTCTGTAATAACCAAAAAAACATTACTGGGAAAACTACCGGTATATGATCTACCACTGTTGTTTTTAGTTCCCTGGTGGTTGCTATGTTCTCTGTGTGGCAGTGAAAGCTAGTTTATTTTCATCTTTGGTTTGCAAACTGCTTTGGGTACTAACAAAACTAGTTTTTTATATAATATATACATGTATCCAGGCATTTGTTGACGAGTTCACAAAATGCTAGAAAGACATAGAAGATCATTTCTGGTTTCAAAGTATATCTCTGTTTTAAAACAGTTGTTGTTTCAAAGCTAATACAATTTCCCATTATTTTATTCC